GGGGGGGCTCCCTGTCCCACCTCGGGATTTGAGGAACATTTTGGGGGTCCTAGGGGGAGTGTTTGGGTGTGGGGGTGAGCAGGGATCCTGCACTCTCCTCCTTATCCCTGTTATTGCAGTGTAATCCCAGGGATTAACCATATGTAATCCCAGGATTTATCCAAGCTGCTTCCCCCCCCATTAATCCCTTCTCTGGGTGGGGGGGGTCCATCTGCTCCCCCACCCACCCTTTGGTGCTGGTGGGGGGGCTCACGTGGGCTGGCACGAGCACCCCAGGGCCCCTCCAGCCCTGCTCACAACCCGACTGGGCTCAAGTTTGGGGTTTTAGGGACCCACAAGGGTTTCAGTTCACTTTGGAGGGCTGTGCCCACCCACAAGGCAAGGCCTGGGGGGCTGTGTGTGCAGCCAAGGACCCTGAGCCCCCCCTGCCCTCACCTTTCCCCAAAATGCAGCTCTTTAACCCCAAAACAGCAGCCCTGGCCCTGTGGACTCACCCCAACGGGCTTCAGCATGGGGAAGTTCTGCAAGTTGACCCTGAGCTCTCTCTGACCCCAAAAAGCAGATCCACAGAACTTCCAGAACTCACCCCATGGAAAACTCCCAGCCCCCTCAGGGTGAGGAAAGAAGAGGAGAGGGAAGAAAGATTGGCCTTTATTCGATGCAGACTCTGGGAGACCCCCTGTGCCCCCCCAGGGGTTGAAGGCAGCCGAGGGTCCTGGGAGGAAGATGAGGCTGCCCAGGGAGGAAGAAGAGCCACCAAGGCCCTGGGCTGTGGTCACAGCTCCGAGAAGAGGGGCTGCTCCCTCACACTGGCCACGACGGGGACGGGGCTGCGGTGGGGGCTGGCCAGGGGCACGTGGGCACTGACGAAGAAGAAGGGGATGTGGCTGATCTTCCCCGAGGACCAGCACTGGAAGGGAAGAGGACACAGAGGAGAATGAGGGTCCAAGATCCCAGACACCTTCCCCCCACCCTGTGTCAGACCAGCCAGCACCAAGGGAGGATTGACTCACCACGGTCAGGAGGGCTCCTCGTGGGAAGCAGGGGTGGAAGGCGATGATCTGGGGCTGGGCACCGCGCTCGCCCCGCACGAACCCGCTGCGGGGGGCAGGAGGAGCCACGGTTATGGCACAGCCACAGAAACACCACACTGCCAGGGCCAAGTGGAGACACCTGGGACCTGATCAGATGCACTGGCCAAGGGACAACCCGAAGCCAAGGGGCTCGAGGTGGATAATGGCCAACACGGCCAAAACACGACGGGATTCGGAGGTAAAACGGTGACAGGCCCTGAAGCAGCGCGGGATGGGGTCTCCCCACGGTGAGGAGAGGCTGCTCTTCCCCACCACACCCCCCAGGGGGGGTTAAAGGTACTCAACGAACCCAAAACCTGCTGCAAGGAACCCACCCAGTGCCCACAGCCACTCACCAGGGCAGGAGCTCGAAGACGGGGCTGTTGCGGGTGCGGAACACGGCGATGGCCGTCTGGCTGCCTGGAGAGTCGGGGTGTCCTGCAGGAGGGAGAGGGGCAGGGAGGCTTTCCTTGCTCCAGGGACACGTGGACAGGCCCCTCGGTGCCCCTTTTCCTTGCTGGAAGTGGGATCTTCAGGCGGGACTCACCTCTGATGATCACTGCGAGTCTCTCTCCAGTGGGATCCCACACCATGGAATGCACCTCTCCTCCAATCCTGGAACCAGCACGAGCAGCAGGGAAGCCCCCAGGGTTGGGGGGCACAGACCCCCTCAGCTGGTGTTCCCAGCACTGGGGGGCTGCTGCCCACCTCTGCCCCCCCAGGTGCCACATCAGACCCACCTCTCGTCCCCGTAGAGCGTCTCGAAGGTGGTCTCGGACAGGTCTGCCACGATCGAGGCTGTTTTGGAGCCCCCCACCTGCCCCTGCATCTCCCCTGAAGAGAACACTCCATAAATCCCACTGAATTGCCCAGATCTCCCATAATTTATCCATTTCTCAGAGCAACGTGCTGGTATCCCATGTCTGGGATGGAGGACAGGGGACAGCAACCCCCAGGACTGGCCCCTCTGCTGACAAACCCCTGAGCTGGCCCTGGACCACCCCCCCCTGCAAAAACCCTTTGTGTCCACACGACTGAGAGGCAACATGAGGGGGGATAAACCCAACCCCAGGGATTCCGTGCTCTGGGAGACCCCCAAGACACCCCCCTGCATGTCCCAGGTCCCTCAGCCAGAAGTGAGGGATCACCTGGGCCCCAGCCCAGCCCTTGGGAAGCTCCAGCTCGGGCAGACTCACCCCGGTACTCGGAGAAGGACAAGGAGTAGATGACGGACTCCCCCAGCACCGTGAAGAGCAGTCGGCTGCCGTCCGGGCTCCAGCACCCCGTCTGTGGCACAGGAAGGGTTTGCAGGGAGACTCCAGTGGGTCCAGGGACAGCTCAGGCCTTTGTGGATGGCCCCTCCCCTGGCCAGGGATCTTTTGGAGCCAGCTGGGAATGGGGGATTTTTGGTAAAACCCACCCAACGTGTCCCCGAGGCCCCTGGAGGTGATGTCTGCACCTCAAATCCTGGGGTCAGTTTGGGGCTACGAGACAGACACTGAGGGGCTGGGGTGTGTCCAGAGGTGGGAATGGAGCTGGGGAGGGGGCTGGAGAACTTGTGAGGAGCAGCTGGGGGGGCTCAGTCTGGAGAAAAGGGGGCTCAGGGAGGACCTTCACAACTCTGGGGAGCCAGGGAGGGGTCAGGATCTGCTCCCAGGGAACAAGGGATGGGACAAGAGGAAACAGCCTCAAGATGCACCAGGGAAGGTTCAGGTTGGATACTGAGAAAATTTCCAGGGCTGTCCAGCCCTGGCACAGCTGCCCAGGGAGTCCCCAGTCCTGGAGGGATTTAAAAGCCCTGTGGATGTGGCACTTGGGGACGTGAGACTCGACGGTCTCAGAGGGCTTTCCCAGCCTAAATGATTCCTTGCCTGAGGAATCCATCCTACCTGGCAGCGTCCTCTGATAGTGGGCCACCGCTCACACGTCCACATCTGAGCCTCCCACACCCTGCAGGGGACAGAACAGGGTGAATTCCTGAGATCTGCCCCAATCCTGCTGCTCCAGGAGCTCACAGGGTCAGACCCAGCCACCCACCCCCTTGCCCCTTTGCCCCCCCAGCAGGAGTGGAAGCAGTGAGGACACTCAGGATCCAAATCTGCTCAGTTTTGGGGCAGAAAGGAGGGCGAGGGCTGCGAGGGGAGCGGGGCAGGCGGGGCACTCACCGGAACACGGCCGAGGGGGTGGCTGCCAGCACCTTGCTGCCATCGGGTGACCAGGCCAAGTAGGTGACACCACCACCCCCAAACCACTGCAGCTGGACACAGTTCTCAGTGGACACGTCCCACACCTGGAGGAGGGGACAAGGAAGGCAAACAGTGACACCAGAACGCCGACTCAGTGTTGGGGGGGGGTTGTTTGGATTAGGGGACACAGAGCGATGCTTTCAGGTCCAGTTCAAATTCAGAGCTGCCTCACCCACCCTCTGTGGGAACAGCACCTGTGCCCAGCCCAGCTGTCCCTGGGTGACCCTCTGGGGTGCCCGTGGTCCCCACATCCCCCCGGGGAGGCACAGCCAGCTCAGGGCTCCTCACCAGCATGGCTGTGTCAACCGGTGACGCCGAGAGCAGCCGCTCCCCGCTGGGTGCCCAGGCCAGGCTGGTGACAGGGCTGTGCCCTGGGTAGGACAGAACCTGGGCACAGCCTGATGACGGTCTGGAACAGAGAGAGAAACCCCCAGGAAGGGTTGGGACAGGCTGGCAGGACGGGCACCTGCCTGGCTTTATCCCAAAGCCAACCCCAAAGGGGGTCCCGATGGCAGGGTGGGGGTGTGCGGGGGTTGTCACCTGGTGGAGAGGGAGGTGGGATCCAGGTGCCACACCAGGACACAGCTCTGGCAGGCCACGGCCAGGATGGAGGCACAGAGGGGCTTCCAGGCCATGGAGGCCACGTTCCTCTGCAGGCGATGCTTCAGCGAGGGGACGGTGGCACTGCCGGGGAGGGGACACATGTGACAAGGGCAAAACACGGGACCAAGAGCGTGTGGGCCATGCCCCAGTGTCCTCTGCCAGCTCTGAGCCCAGTGCAGGGGGAAAGCAGAGTGGGAAGGGGGTGTGTGCCCTGCTGTGCCCTGCTTCCCAGGCTGGGGGGAGGGTGTGGGGGGACAGGAATTCCCAGCCAGGTGACAGTGGGGGACAGGAATTCCCAGCCAGGTGACACCGGAGTGAGCCAGAGCACACCTGGTGCAATTGGCCTGAGCTGCCCCCAGCCCAGCCCTGGGGCAGGAGAGGGCCCGGGCTGGCCAGAAATCCCAGCTGGGAGAGAGGGCTGGAGCAGGGCAGCGCGGAGGGGGCCGCAGGACCAGCCGGCACAGTCTTCTCCTGAGGAGGGATTGGCATTCCCTGGGGGAGCAGGGAGACCTGGGGGAGAGAGGAGACTCAACGACGCTCCAAACACTGCTCTGCCTGTGCCCCCTTGGGCTGTGGGACCCCCCTTGGGCTGTGGGACCCCCAGGATGCCCCCAGAGCTACGGAGCAGGGAGGGAAAGGAAAGCCAAGGCTTCGGTCAGGATCGTGCTCCAGGAAGAGGGGTGGGAAAGGAGCAGGGGCGGCTGAACGTGAGCCCACGTGGGCAGGAAGGCCAAGGGCACCGTGGCTTGTGGCAGCAGGACCAGGGCACCCCAAATCCTGTGAGGCAGTGGTAGCTCCAGCCCCACCTGTTGGAGTTGTAGACCCGGATGGAATCGTCCAGAAGTGCCACAGCAAACTTGTTGGTGTGGGGGTGCCAGGCAAAGGCCCGCACGGGGCATCCGGCCCTGGAGGCAGAGACAGGGCAGGGTGAGGCTCCAAGCAGAGGTGCTGGCACCACCCAGCACCCCCCAGGCTGGCAAAGGCCCTTCCCAGAGCACCCGTTGAAATAAAACTCCCTTTTCGCTGCTGGATGGGACCGTTTTCTTGGGAAACTCCCCCATTCCTGGCAATTATTCCCAGGGCTCTGCTGAGGGGCTGGTTCCCACAGTCTGGGGTGGGAACTGGGAGGAATTTTGCAGTCTCTGATGTCGTGTAACCTTGATTTCAGCACACCAGAGGCTTTGCCTCTCTCTGACCATCGGACACAAACCAAGGCAGCCAGAGCCTGCGGGGAAATACTTGCCCTTAATGTGCCCACCCAAACAGGGCCCTCCTGTCCTTGTACCCCCACCCCTCTCCCAGCTCTGGGGGTGTCACAGACCCCAGAGATGGTGCTTTTGGGACACACAGGACTCACCAGTCCACGGCCTGGGAGAAGGCTGCAATCATGTCCTCACTGGTCAGCTGCAGGGGAGAGCAGAACACTGAGCTGGCAGCAAGGACTCCCAGTGCCCATCCCCTCTTTCCTCTTCCCCTACCTGGATTTTGGCCCCTTTTGGAGTGCTTTGGGCCCTGGCAAGGCGTTAGGGCAGCATTCCCCTCTCTTTGGTGGGGGAAGGAGCAGCGTTTGGAGCTGGGCATTGCCGGGAGGAGCGTTTTGGTGGGTTTTCAGCAGGGAAGGGACCACCCACCACCCCAACCAGCCTCCCCCAGCCCCAGGGATCAGGCCTGGAAGGACTCACGGAGAGGTGTGGGAATAGGGATCCGTGGAGCGAGGAGAGCCAGCGGCACACGGCCAGCGCGTGGCTCGAGCCCGTCCTCAGCCATCGCAGCCCTGGGGGGGCAAAGCACCCTCAGCTGCGCCCACCCGCACCACGGGGGGCAGGGGTTGGGGCAGCACAATGGGAACAGACCCAGAGATCCCAGGAAATC